TTCTGCACCTGGGTCGTCGTCTTCCCCTCCATCTTCTCCTGCCTCTTGTACCGTTTGCATCAAAACCTCCTGGGTTGACTCTGCCAGCTCTTGCATCTGCTTCAAATAATCGATGCGGTCGGCGCAATTGATGGCTGCCACCACGAGGAGCTTCAGGAGGGCGATGGTGTCGGTGAGCGAGGAGGATTGGGCAATAGCCTTCAGGTCAGGCCGACCACCAGGCAAAGGCAGTCGTTGCCCACATTCTTCCACGAGGAAGATGGAGAGTGCATCGTAAATGTGTTTGAGGTTGGTCCACTTGTTGATCCATTGATCGGTCTCAGGGTCTTCTGGTAGTTTACCAGGAAAGCTGAAGCGGTCGATTTGCTCTGAAAAAGATTAGAAAACTTACGCGACCGTCAAAACAACTTGAACATACGAAGAGCCTTCCATATGATGTCGCCATTGGTGAAGTCGTCTACCGTGTAGACAGGGTCCGCAACAGCGAGACTGTTGATCCAGTCGATGAGCCCGGCGGCAATGGCTTCTTCGGTCGCCATGGCAGAGGAATATGTTTATGTTGATAGCATTTCATTATTGCTCTGCTATCGAGCTGCGACAAGCCTGGAAACAGTGAATGGCCCCATGGTTTCAGGTTGAGCGATAGTGAGGACGCGAAAAGCCTTTGGGGGCGCGTGCTTCCGCCAAAGGCTGTGGAGGCACCAAAGGCACGAGGGAATCAACAATATGACGTCGACTATTGAAGTGTCTATCCCAACATGTTCACTCCATCAGTGTTAAACATTCTTCAGTGGTTACAGATCCGGCAAGACCGACATAAAAAGCATTTAAGAAGAGACGGCAGGTCAATTCTGTTCAATTATGTATCGATAACATCTCTAAATGAGTGAGGGAGGCCATGTTCTATCCCGTGCGCCGATGCAGTGTCACCCAAGCAAGAAACCTATGCCTGCGGTAGTCGTGCCCATGATATTCACAGTTTCGTTTCCTCCATTTCATAATACTATATCCATTCGTGATCGAAGACACTGTCGTATGCACGTCAATCCCCCGGAAATTCCTCCTTCCTTAGGCTTCCTATTGAGCGGCACTTGTCGAGCCGTCAATGCTGACCACATAGTCGTCCTCAATATATGGCGAATATGCTTGGGCCATTTCGCTGATTTTGTTGAGAGTGACTTCTGAAACTTTGGCAGCGAATCCTTTGATCAAGGCTATCACAAAGTTAGCGTTGATCCCAGCGTAGATAGGGGCGGTGAAATGGAGGAGGGCTCACAATATTCATGAGTTATGATACCACCATCTTTTTCAATCTCAGCGATTGCCTTGTCTATGACTGAAGACGGAGTGTCGTCTGGGAATGATACCACAACGGGTTTCTGTGGAGGAGGCAGGGCGAAGACCGCAACGAAGAAGGCAAACAGGAAGATGAGCGGTAGGCGCATTTTGATGCTTCGAGAGTGTTCGCGCAAGAGTCGAAAGTCGGGGAAGCCGGAGCAGGTATCTTTCACAATTGGATCAGAGAGTTGATGAGACACAGCAATGAGTAGACGGGATTTTTGCAAGTGAGAGATTCGAATGGCAGGGGAGACTGTATTAGACGACTGCGGATTTGACGCAATTGTTCTCTTGTGACTGCGCTCGGATGGTCCCTTTCCCTGCCAGATCCGGAGCCAGCCCGCCACACCCGACAGTTTGACGCAGGCGGCAATTCGGCTTCCACTTCCCATTTGCTGGTATCTGCTTCCAAACTTCTTCCTCTTGGTTCTCTCTTCTTGCTCGTCTCACCACTTCGTCCCTTTGGTTCCATCATCGTCGCGCCTGTCCTATAACTCGTCCTCTCCACCTTGATAATGTGGTCGATCCAGTATTGAGACAGTGCATCTGCAGTTTCGGAGTGTCCGGTCGATGGTCAACGAGCGACACCCACCAACCTTCACCTTCTCCGCGGCTCATTCATTTCTCAACTCGAGTCTCGATTGCCTACCCATACTGGTCTTGTGCCTATACTTCATCTGCTTTGTCACAGCAAATTATGAGTGGAAGGCCCTGAAGGTTTATCTGGAGTGAATCGCCGTCGAATCTGGGTGCTGGAGAATTGGACTGAAGCCGCAAGGAGGGATCAAAATAAACATACCGGGTGTCACTTTGAATGGTTGTAGATAGCCAAAAGATACCACGACACGTTTTCCTTTTGTTGTCTACCTTGCTCAGGCGCGCCCGTGTCTGACGACTCCAGTCGCTGCTTGACATCAAAGAGTCATTGCTTGCCTCGCCGCATGCCCATTTGACTCCTCCAAAGCTCGAGTCCGTCCTGGGTCCCGATTTGGACTTCGTCTACCTTTCAATCTTTCTTACTCTCCATTTGCGATTCCCATCTCCTTCTATCGTCATGTCCGGACTACCGTCAGATGAGGTCGCAGAAGACTATAAGAACTCTTTGGAGGATCTTGTGTCCAACGACAGATACCAGATCTCAAACTTGACACTGATTGCAAAAGAAAATACCGAACACGCCGAAGCCATCTCAAGGGTGCTGCAAAACCATATCAACAGGGTACGTCAGATGCATCTTCAAACACTTCTTGCATTCTGCCCCTGCGCAATCCGCTCTCTATAGCCCGTTCCCAATGGAGTGACTAATGCTCTCATAGGCACCTCCAGCCCGCAAATTACCAGCTCTGTATGTCTTGGACTCTATCGCCAAAAATGTCGGCTCTCCTTACACGGTCTATTTCGGCCGGAACCTTCACCAGATCTTCATGCTGGCATATTCCCAAGTCGATGCTGCAGTCCGACGGAAGCTGGAAGAAATGTTAAAGACGTGGCGAGAACCGGTCCCAGGCGCCCTGTCCACTACTCCCGTATTCCCCATCGCGAGCACCCAGACCATCGTCGACAGTTTGAACAAGTTTCGGGGCCAGTTGCCTCCTACTCATCGCCAGCAGGCCACTCCACTCCAAGGCCAGCCTGCCAGAGTGCCGTCTGCTCAGCCATACCGTCACACACCAACTCCTCCACAAACCTTGTCTCAATTTGCTCAAAACATCCCTTCACACATTCGAAGTCCGCAACCACAACCTGCTCTACCCCAGCAACCATATTCCCAGGGGCCATCAGTGACTTATGGCCAGCAATACCCACCTCAGCCGACTCCGACTCCCTACTATCAGCCCCCTCCGCCCTCTCATACACCCCAGTACCTACCTCCGACTCCTCAGCCGGCTCCCGTCACTGCAAGCGCAGTTGATTTGCGGAAACTGCATGCTGACATTGACGACCTGACTACCGACGCTAAGATCGAGTGTGCCACCCATCCTATGGATGCCGGGGCCCAACGGAAACTAGCTAGTCTGCAGACGTTGAAAGAGATCCTCGACAGTGGCAATGCTTCTGAAAGTGATTTGGTTGACATTCAAAACACGATCCTGCAAAAGATGACGGAGAAATTGACGACGAGTCGCCAAACCCCGACGCAGGCGCCGCTGTCCAACATCCCCCTGCATGCACCTTATGCCCCTCCACAGCCACTGATTCAACCAATGCAAATCACTGCTCCAGGCCCAAGCCCTGTGCCACCGCCTACTGCGTTATTCAATAGCACGAATCTTGCAGAGCTTCTTCGAACCACTCTAAATCAACAGCAAGCGACACAGCCCACCAGCTACTATGCACCACCTCAAACGGGCATGAGTACTCCTCAGTATACCGCGACAGCCGCTCCTGCACCGACGGAAAACCCACTCATAGCTCAGCTCCGGGCGTCCGGGCTCCTATCTGCAGCCCCCACGCCTCCTCCTGGGGTCACACCACCCCTGGCATCTTTCTCTACATTCGCGCCAGACACATCTGCGGAAGTCAAATTCACGTCAGCTTCAATCAGAATACCAAGACCCCAAATGATAACCATCTTTCTCACGGCGCGGCCCAATCAGTGCAGTACTTGTGGGAGGAGATTTACGTCAGATGACGCCGGCAAGGAGAAGAAGGCCAGACATCTCGACTGGCACTTTAAGACCAAAGCCAGAATGCTGGAGGCAGAAAAGCGGGGTCAGAACCGCAGTTGGTATGTGGATGAGCGAGAATGGATCGCGAGCAAAGAGTATGATGACGATGCTGGACCAGTGGATTCCAACGGCCATCCAATAAATGGAGCCGGGGTTTCTGATAAGAAGAAGCCGCAAGACTTTGTGCGCGTACCAGCGGATCCGGTAATGCGGTCCCTGCCTTGCCCGATAGATCAGGAGCCATTCAAAAGTGAATGGAGCGAGGAAGTACAGGATTTTATTTGGAAAGACACAGTACAAGTCGGAGGGCGATATTACCATTCATCTTGCCTAGGGGACTATTCTAACTCAATACTTGGTAAACGAAAAGCAGAGGAAGATAATATGCCAGTGGCCGCGGAGAAGAAACTGCTTATCACTTAGGTGTGATTGTATTCGTCCACAGGAGGCAAACCTGATGGGCAACGCATGCATCCACGAGTTGGAGGAAATGTTGGGTGGTTATTTCCAGATAAACGCATTTGCATCGCGCAAGAGCATGTAGTAGACTGTGGCTATATGAATGAAAGATGGCAAAGTATGGTATTCCCTTGGCGCTAGCCTCGTTGGTTTGCTCACGCGGTGCACATACCCCATAATTGGCAAGGCTGTCGGAGATAAGGACGACCTATACTCTCATATCCGAGCTCGCCGACTGCGTGATCGAATCCAGGGCCTTTTCTCTTCTCCACTCCCCAAAGGAGACGGGGACCCACTCATCTTTCCCGACTCAGTCTTATCGAGCCCCGAACTTTTTTTTCCCAAAGCACATGTTTTCTTCTGCCGCGCCCAAAAATTTAGACCTCACTGCTCTCCGTTTCATCCATTGACACGGGAGTTGATATAGACGAGCTCCTCTCACGACATTTCCTGGTCTTTGGAACGCTTCCTTTCGCCCACGCCCGTCCGCGATCCTCGTGCGCCGCGACTCCTCCGAATACTCTCCCCCCAACCATGTCACCTCCAGCTATGGCGCCAGCTCTGGCCGCGGGTGGTAAAAGCTACAAGACTGAATCAGGGACTGCTCGGTTACTGGGATCAGGTGAAAAACATACATCGTCGGCTGGTGCGAGCTGGAGCTGATGCATTGGCGATACAGGCTCTGCTGGAGTTGCCGAGCTCTTGGTCTTTCATCCCGTTGATACCGTTGCGAAAAGACTGATGAATAACCCAACAAGAGTACGCACTGATGCATATTTGGGCCTCGATCATCGAAGTGCGCCGGCTGACATAAGCGCAGGTTTCTTCGCTGTCCGCGCTCAACTCGGTCGTCTTCAGACAAGCCGCCACAGCCCCCGTCCTCACCAAGTTTACTTCTCTTTTCCCTGGTCTGGGTTATGCAGCAGGTTATAAAATCTCACAGAGAATATACAAATACGGTGGCCAGCCCTTTGTACGCGACTACCTGACCCAACATCACGGTCAAGATTTCGACAAGGCCTTTGGCAAAGGGACCGGCAAGGCAATGCTCAACGCGACAGCAGGCTCTCTCATCGGCATAGGAGAAGCGGTACTCCTATTGCCCCTTGACTTGCTCAAAATTAAAATGCAACTCAGACAGCCAGGCGGCCCTTCTCAAGGGTTTTTCAGCATCGTCAAAGAGGAGGGTTTTTTTGGGTTGTATAGGGGAATAGGCTGGACAATGTAAGAGCAGACCCAAATTGACTGTCCAGACTTGAGAACTAACATGTCCAAGCGCACGAAATGCCCCAGGCTCCTTTGCACTGTTCGGAGGATCATCGTTTACCAAAGAATACCTCTTCAAGCTCGAAGACTACAATGCGGCCACATGGGGTCAGAACTTCGTTGCCTCCGTGGCCGGCGCAGCATCCAGCCTCACCGTCAGTGCTCCTCTGGACGTAGTGAAGACCAGGATCCAGGGTGCTGCGTTCGGGAATTCCGGTTTTCAAATCGTGGCGGGCATGGTCAAGAATGAGGGTATTACGAGCTTCTTCAAGGGTCTCGTTCCTAAGATGTTGATGACCGGTCCCAAACTCGTGTTCTCCTTCTGGCTGTAAGTATTATATTTCAATTAACTTTTCATGACTGCTAACACCTTTCTAGAGCGCAGACCCTCATCCCAGCCTTTGGCAAAATTGTCTAAAACTTTCGGCTCTCCGACTCCCATAGGCTCTAAATCCTCTGTACCTTAACCAGCACGACACCCACAGTCGAATCTCAGCAGGATTGGACCGAGTCGCCATCCACGCTGTCGGACGTCGAGCCGAATCAATCTACTTGTTTTTTTGCAAAGTATTATCAACTCAACTCACTTTCATGGTGCCTGAATTCCCTACACCAACGACAACCACGAGACCACCAGTCGGATCTCAGCAGGATTGGACCGAGTCGCCATCCATGCTGCCGGACGTCGAGCCGAATCAATTTTACTTTTTTAGTCAACTTCCTACATAATTCAAGCGTCCTATACGAAAAGCAAAGTCACGCAGTCGCAATGTTACCGCCCGGGCTATGGTACGCGTTGTCCCAGATTTCACAATTTTTCCGAAATCTCACAATTTTTCCGGGACGCACCTACCTTCTGCAAAGGACATGCACGAGAGGCGATTCTGACAAACGGCTTGACACTCGGTGATAGCGCTCTGCCGCCATTTCCCCTTGACTCGCAGAGACGAATCTCTGCTTCTATGAAAAGGTCATCTATGGCCGAATTCACCAAGACAATGATTCAGAGTTCTTTAGCGTTCGATGCGGCAATCTCCACCGTCCCATATGACGATTACTGTATTCACCAGGACAATCTTGACGAGGCTCGTGCTCTGCTATTGCGACATATGCGAGATGTCTCCGTCTCTTCAAGGCCATCCAGGAACAACTCACTAGAGTCGCGGATCAGGGTTGCTACACACCTGGGACCATTGGTAAATGCATGTATGTGTCTCTCCCATATCGTCCATATATCCCATACCAAATCAGGACTATATGTACATGCACGCATTCGTGTCATATATGTATGTATATACGTGTTTGTGTATGTCAATCCCTCATCGTAACATATGAATGATCCCAACCACGACTCAACCCCCACGAGGACCGTCGCCAGCTCACTATGCATTCTTCAAAAACTCCGCCACCACCTCCATGTACCGGTCTGGAATCTCGAGGTTGCTGCAATGACTCGCATCCGGCAGCGTGAACCACTTCACCTTGGGGATCTGGAAAAACGGATACACGCAGCTGTCCCGGGCTTCGTCCCACTGGCCGTTGAGCAAGAGGGTCGGGACGGAGATCTTGTGCACCTCGTCGACCACGGACCAGTTCCTTTAGCGAGCGTTAGCTAAGCTGCATGTTGAATACATACCACGTAGATATGCAGATATGATGTGGCTCGAGCATATATCGCCGAGATGTGCAAGAATGCTGCATGCTGCGTGCTGGGCAAGCAAAATGCTTGTGAGGATTCGGAAATAGGAGACTCACTTCAGGTTTCCAATCACGGTGACTAGGTTGGTTGTTAGTATTGACACGAGCCACTCGATTATGGGCATGATTGGAAATGGAATCAAAACGTCCACAGGCGAAGAAAAGACTTACATTCACTCGGCCCGTTCATGGTGTAGTAGACAGTCTGCAAGGTTCCATGTCAGTCTCACACGCTCCTCGGTTCTGTAAGCGGAAGTCTCCTTCAACTCACATCGTCTACCTCCACGTTGGCCAGGGTATCGAGAAGATCCTGTGGGAACGGAAACACCCTGCAGACGTGCCGCTTGTAGAATTCCTCGACAGCCGCCTTGTACTCTGGGTCGTCGTACGTCTGATTCGCCTCGTGTTCCGTCAAAGCTTTGTCCACGTCTTCGGGCAGTTCGCTCCGCCACTTGTTGCACGCCTCGACCCACAGCTTCATGGACGCAGGTGAGTTGGAAATGATGAGCCGCTTGAGGCCAGGGCTTCCCCGGATGGCAAACATAGAGCCGCTGGGGGTTGTTAGTAGCATTCTTTGGTCGAGTGTAGGATGCCCCGGCCATCAAGGATTTGAAGCCATGCAGCGGCGGCAGCCTTGGTACTTACAGCATCCCACCCTTTGAGACAGAGGTTAGCTTCTCGACGTCGATGCAGTGTTATGTGTGGTGCAAGCATAGGGCAGTCTTGTAAGAAGAAGAGCAACGCAGTCGCAGACGCACCCAGCTTTGCCCGAGCAAGTCAAACTCTGCAATCCCCAGATGCTCCAGCAGGTTGTCCAATTCAGCGATGAAGAGCTCGGGCTTCCAGAAGTCCGTGTCGAGTCTCTTTTCCCGCAGATGTGTCGAGTGGCCACAGCCTAGCTGGTCATACTGCTCCTCCGGTCATTAACACTAGCATCATCCCCAAATGGATCCTAGGGGTAGACTTACAAATACCACGGGAATGCCATAGTCATCTGAAAGGCGGCGGAGATTCTGCAGATAATTGTGGCCCATGCCAGGACCTCCATGGAGAGTGACCAGCGGGCGCCCAGTCGAGGAAGATTTGAGGTCCCCGTATACTTGATACCATGTCTCGCAGGGTTTTGGCAAGCTGGGGTGTGAGAAGGGGATGTTGCCCTCTGAGGTAGCCATTACCCAAGTAGCCTTGCCGATGGTTGTACCTTTCAAACACTGTCACAAGGAGCTGTAGCAGGATATATATATATATATGCCAATGCCACAAAAGAGAAGCATATGTCTTAAGTGCGGACGCCGAGAAACAAAACTCACACACCAAGTCGAGATGAATTCTCCTCTATCAAATACTATCCCACATCCCAACGATGCCAGGCAACGACGTGTGTGACATAAGTCTAGGCAGAAGTTCAGCTCAAAAGCTATGTATGGGTGCGAGTCAGAGGTCCCCAGCAGCCACATGCAAAACTCCAGGTCTGGAACTGGGGCACCGGTTTTAGGAGCCCTTGTGTCGTTGGACGAATTCCTGCTACTCACCTTCCTGTTCGGGCAGCTTGCATCACCCAAAGACCCAGCAACCACCAAGGTCTGAGTGGCGTTGACTCGTCGAACCGGAGCTGGAGGGCTCGGGGATGGGCGACCTTGTCCGCCAACCAGAGGCCTCCACTCACGCCAGGACGGGTAAACCAGCTACGAGGGAAAAGGAAGGTCGATTGGGGACCGCCGCACTGGGGAAACGTCTGCCTCCAGCTTATCATTCCTCCTCCATCAGCATCAGCGGTAGGGGGTGGTAGAAACAATAGGCAAGTGTGGGAATTGTCCGGGTTTTTGTTGGAGTGTAAGAGTGTGAGACAGACTTCAGACTTAATCGAAACACTGTTTTTGTCATTCTTGGGGTTTAGATACTTGCCGACCACGCGTCCATGACGTCCAGCTCACCCAGCTCGCCCTACTCGTCCACTTGACCGTGAATACAAAACATGTTCCTGAATTGAACCCGCAATTCCTCGCTGGCTACTGTTTCCTGGTGTCTGCCGCTCTCCCATAGACAGGATGCCCTCTCCATCAGATGAAGAACATGGTGTTCGAAACCCGGGGATGTATTGTGACCATGGACTGACTGACACCTGTTTGCCTCCCCGCTCCTCCAGAAGAGTTGCTGCCCGCCGCTGAGGCCCCAAAAACCTCATGCAGATACCTCCTAGCCCGATCACATACTAAATCCGCGTAGTATGCTGGAGGACATAGGCTGACGGACCGCGTGCAGCGCCCAAAGAGGTAGCACATATTGTGGGTCAAGTCTTCTAGAACATCAGCAGCGTTCGCGAAGTGGGTTCCTTCCGATGACGTTGCCTGACGTTGGTGATGATGTCGACGAAAGACCTCGTCGTATACCACAAAATAGTGGATGGGCCGAGCTGTTCCTTGGAGCGTAGCATGAGCCTGTAAGAAAAAGTCCCAGACTCGAGATTCAGTCACACCCCGGTCTACCACAGTACCGGGCTTCTGATTAGTAGACCTATCGGCATCCTCGCTCCGAGTCGGATAAAACCTGGTGTGATGTCGTTTACTGACAATGGTGATATTGAGGCGCGGGAGGGTATCTTGCGTGTAGACCTCTCTGCAGGCGGCTTGAAGCTGTGGCAGTTCCTCATCAAGAACCACTGGATACTGTCCTTCAGAGACCCCATCTCGGTAGACGATAATGTTGTGTGGTAGGCCATTGTGTTGTTGTTTCCACAACCCGAGGTGTTTTTTCAATAGATCCTTCAAGTCTGTTACCATCTCTTTCCGCCCTTCCTGGAGTGCGACACTAGCTCGCCATTGACCTAGCACTTGATCAATCGAACTGACTATGCCGACAACGCTGGGCGCCTCTTCTGACGAGTCCGTAGATGGATGTGTAACGTCAAGACCAACGAACATGGTTCTACCTTCTGCAACCATTCCAAGCTTCGTCGGGTCTAGCGATTGATTGAATCCACCTAGTTTCAAGTTCACTTTCAGCGCGATGTTGGCAAAGGTGTGTGGGTTTCTTTTGGCAAAGTTGGACGCTAATACACAGACATTGTTGATTCCCTCGCGTACGTCGCAGTTGATCTTCACTCTGTTGTAGATGTCGGAGTGATTAGAACCGAGAATAACCAAGAGAAATGGCTTCTGGGCTGAGGATGAGAAGAATTTAGAGGCGACCTTGTGAATGGCGGCGTCTACCGTCTCATTGACAGTGTTGTTCTCGATAGTGATCTCTTCGCCTGGGCAGCAATTTGTGCAAGTAATGCCTACCTTACGTAGTGCCTGTGTAAACTCCGTTAGGCTAGTCTCAAGGTCGAGTCGGCTCCTCAAAGGGCCGTCATAGCCATCGGTCTTGATGAAAAGCCAAGTCCATTTCTGGAGATTTGCGGTGGCGACGAATTTGAAATTCTGCATGTTCCAGCTTCCGAGCTTAGTTGCCACATGCTTCTTTCCCTGATAGTAGACGCTGGGGCTTTCGAGTATGCGACCTGGTGCGGCGATGAGCCGTGGCGTAAGGCTGACATTGAAGGCACTATGGGTGGCATTGACAGGCTGTCCAATATTGAGTAAGCCGACGCCCTTGTCAATGATAGACTGCGCGTTGAGGACGGGTTTTCGAACAGCGAAGCGCGTCATGTTTTGTGTCTGCTGCGTCGACAATGTGCCCCTAAACGCGTTTCCTGGTAGAACCTGGCACATCTGGGCGGGTAAATACACTGGATTCTGCTCGTTGCCGACATTGAGGATCGGTAACGTAGGATCGTTGATGATAATATTGTAGGTCTGTCGGAAAAAGTCGAAGACGGTAACGTATTTTCCCTCCCTATCGAGCCAGAACTGGATCTGCTGCGCTCCAGCGCCAAATTCGAGGACACGAGGCGGATGGGGAAGCGATTTGCCGTCCTTCTTAGTAGCAAGGCCACAAATGACTCTCGGAAGCGGGATGGGTTGACCGTTCTTCCTCGGAGAGGTATGAGTAGTGTGCACGGTGAGTCCTGTGAGAAACCTATGAAGTTCCTGCTTCTTGGGGTCGCGTGAAGCTCGGAAATCTTGGATGAGATTGACAAGCGGGCCGTGATTGTAGAACGGAGAACATTTGACTTGAACATTGACGAGAATGCGTCCTGTCGCAGGTCTGACGCTCACGAAGAAACCGCGGATCACCGTGAGCCCGGCACCAAGGGAGGATCTGTCGGCTTCCAGAGGCCGTCTAGGATAGTGTTTGTTACTTCCGATAGATGCGACCCGTGAAGAGCTCCTCGGATTGTGCCCCATGATAATGTTCAGCGCTTGAATAGTGCGGTCTTTGGAAGTACAGACTTCATTGGGGGTGGTCGAGATGAGATATGTCAACAGCTCTGACGCAGTATTGGCGCCATCAGGGACCAGGCGAATGCGATATCGTCTGGCCGTGGCAACAGGAGTGTCTTCACCCTCCCTCCTATAGACGACATCGTACGATTGCTGATTGAGCTGCGTGTTGCTGATGATCAGAGAGGTGAAATCCGTCACGATGCCCGATCGGTTTTGGGCGAAATGTTCTTCAATGAGCAGGGTGACCAAGCGCTGCTTGTCTTTCTTTCTGATCTGTCTGCCAGGAGTCCCCTGTACTGCGAAATCGAGAGCATAGCGATAGAACGTGGCGTTGCCCCAATCGAGATGCATGTAATTCGCGTAGAGCAGGATTCTGTATCCTTGTGTTCCAAAGCCAGGGCGGACAGGGAGCCGGGGAGCAGAAGCGGATGGCTTGAGGACGGTTTTCTCGATCTCGTTCTCAAGATCTCTATTCTTGACATCGAGAATGGCGACATCACCGGGGCCATGACTGTAAAGTGATGAGAAGATCAGCTCCAAACATCTGGAAGAGGCTCCACGTTCTGGTAGGGGGTTCTTACGAGAAGATAGCTGGGGGACCGGCGACGCTTCTTGGAGGGCCACCACCGTGAGAACTGCCACCACGACCACCGCCCTGGCCTCCACCTCTGGGGTGGGAGGGAAGAGTGATTTGACCACCACGGCCACTCGTCGACATGTTGTGAAACTAGCCGAGACTGAGAGGAAAGGGAAGAACCGCAGACACTGAGACGGTACCGACCAGCTGCCAGCCACTGATAGTTGCGATATCCTGAGTGAGCAGTACAAAAGAAGGGGTGAGATAGCAGGTTGCGAAGACGAGGAGTGGAAGATGGGAAAAGATGGGAAAAATGAATGAGGAACAGGAGGGATACTTATAGGCTTGGATAAGAGTCTGGCAGCCTTGTTGCCTGGCGATATTCACGTTTGACCACATGCAAGCAAACATGTGCTATTGTGCTCCTATTGTCAGACTGAAGTTGATTGAAGGCAGCTTGAATAGACATCTCTGGTCATGGCGATACAAGGTACGGTTTATGAAAGCATGTAATTGGGGGGGTTATTGAATCCTTATTCTCTCATGGAAGGCTCTCTACGCGGTTAAAAGAGCTTTTGATGATACCTACAGGTGAAGGGGAGAGAATGACAAGCAAGAAACAGAAGAGATGTTGTGAGAAGACGATATTGAAAGTTGCAAATTACAGGGAATGAGTTGAATTGAGAGACGACTATTTGGCGATGGAGCGCACTATGTCTGTAGCGCCCAAGGAGCAGTTGCGGGCCTCTCTAGAGTTTGGACTCTGGTGTGCATTGGGGATGGGGGCGTGGGGCACAGGGACTCCAGGTAGGCAGTGATAGGGTATATCTCCCCACTCGATGCTAGTACGGGTACCTATCGAGCTATATAGATACCCCTTTAGAATACCTAAAGTACGCACGTCCTCGTACTCGGTACATGTACCTGATAGTTCCATGTTCCCCTCTTCATCAATGACGTCCTTGTCCTTGTCCAGTTCTCAGCCTCGTCCCAGACATGCTTTGGATTGGACTTGCATGTGCGCTGATACAACCCCTCCTCGTGTGACACAAACATCCAGGGTCGCGAAAGGACATTGGCTGCGCTGTTGTTGCCTTGAGCATGAGTGCATTTGATTCCCCCTTTCACCTCCTCCAGTTTCCTTGCTGTTCATGGTTTCTTCTCTTCCTACAATAGACCCGGCGCAGCCCCTGTCGAGAAAATTACCTTGAAGAAGCGCATCTACGCCCACGTCGCCCATCTCCCGTCATGGATCCTCTGGCCAAATACCTCAGCCTCATCTCAGTAGTGGTGAGTGGAGGCCCATCCAGCTCTGTTTTCTCCAAGGCTGCCCTAACATGTCATATGTGAAAGCTATGCATTGCCGCCGTCATTCTCTCTGCGTAAGTAGAGACACAGCATCGCCTAGCGTCGACAGGCGTTAGATTCAATCGTCTAATATCGATCTCTACAGAATTTCCTGGGCCAGAATCGTCCACCTCAGCCTTCCATGCCCCCTGACACTCCCTGTGCTGAGCACACTCACGACTCTTGTCGGACCCGTCATCATGGCCTTCGCTGTGAGGACGAGGAAGAGAACACTGACGCTCGTTGCGCCCTATCTTCGCTACTTCCTCCCCTTTCTCCCCTTTGCTCTCTTCATCCTCTCCCTCATCTACGCAGTCCCCTCCGATCTTCTGTCCTGCAGCATCGAAAGCCAATGGGTCAGCCTGTTTCGGGCCAAGAATGAGGATGCCGTGCGTGGGATAGAGAACGCCCTCCGGTGTTGCGGATTCAATTCGTTGCATGATCGGGCGTGGCCGTTTCCTAGTCACGACGTCGACGTTACCGCCTGCGAGAGGACTCTAGGATATACGCGGCGATGTGTGGACCCATGGCGGAATCAAGAGCAGGTTGCTGCGGGACTACTCGCCCTGGCCAGTCTGTTCAACTGGATCCTTCTGGTAACGTGTGAAGTCCCGCCGTATGATATATGGCTACTAACCCCTTCGGACGTACCAGCATCTCGTGGATGCGGCAGCGCAGCCGAGTCCATCTAGGCGATTTCCTACCGCTTCTGATGTCCGCCCTGAGCAGACTAGACTGCTCCGTGAAGCTGAGGAGGACCAAGAACAGAGTGGAACAGGGAACAACCATGCTTCTTACTCCGACCATAGCCGCACAAATTGAAGGGGGAAAGATACAACGAGCACTTGTACTGAACTTGCAGGTAACACAGGTAACACAGTTGGTCAGAACATGAGTGAAACGGGCTCGCAAGTCTACCAATAGGAGAGCAAAATGCACGTCAGTGAAGTATCCATGTTTGTCGGTCCGGGGCTGACATGCCACGCCCCTTCGAAACACCAACATCTGAATCAGGAAGCAATCTACGACCCAGGCCCCGATCGATGTGGTGTTGTAATATACTTAATCTCGCATCATCCATCTCTCTTGGGCTCACCGCTCTCTTTGATCACCAGTCCCTCCTCGCTCCTCGCGCATTACTTCCCGTCTTTCGTTTAGAGTGGCGCGATACCGGTTGCTGGACTACTCATACTCGTACTCATACTTGTACTTTTATGCTCTGTGGAAACAATGTTACGAGGATTGGCTTTCATGCGCTAGCTCAGGGAAAAGAGAGAGAGAGAGAGAGTCTGGCTTTTGTGCCTGCTGTACGAGGTAATCGTGGAGCCGACTATCAAAAGATCCGTGCATACGAGTAGTTGGACATTGGATCGCAGACGTGGCCCCAACAGACATGTACCTCGTCATAGATATCAGGGGGTTTCGCTTGGTCTTAGGTCGATTTCCAAGGTATATGAGGCCAAGTAGAGCACCGTTCATAACTGATAGGCTGTCTGTCTGCTGTTTTGCTTCCTCCTTGTCCATCGCATTGCTTTCTATTCCTATCGCCTCCTCTTGTGTCCTCCAAAGCCTTCGTTTCGTCTAACCCGCCATCATCAACATGTCTGCAACCACTGGCGCTTGCCTCTGCGGCCAAATCAAGTATGAGTTCACAGGCGACATTGCGCTGAAAGCATTCTGCAACTGCAAAGACTGTCAGCGCTGGGGAGGCGCAACCGGTCTTCCCAACGTTGTCATTGACCGGAAAAGCTTCAATGTTACAGCCGGTAAGGCATTGGCATCATTGCCGTTGAGAACATCTTCCCTTCCCTCCGAACCCTACCGCCAACTTCAGACCTGCTAACGTGTGCGAAATAGGAACTCCTAAGGCCTTTGATGTTGTTGGTGACAGCGGCAAGATAAATCGGCACTATTTCTGTGGAACGTGCGGATCGAGTCTGTATTGCGAGCTGGAAGCCATGCCTGAGAACACGGTTATTAAGGTAAGTGCTGACTTTCTCGGTGCATGGCGAGAGACGTTTGAGAGTGCTGGAGACGATTTGCTGATTCCCCTCATTCAGGCCGGAAGCCTAGATCAACCAGATGTCAAGGAGATGCAGGCCGAGCTCTATGTCAAAGATCGTGTGAGCTATATGAAGCCAATTGAGGGCGCTCAGCAGGTCCCTGCATTCCTTTGAGCGAAGAACCGGCAAGATTTGGATTGATCAGGAGTGGTGGGTGTCGATAAAGCCCAAAGGAACCATCATATCCCATATGACGAGGCACAGACATCCCAAATCCCACATGTTGACTCGTCCGCATCGCCTAGCCACAGAGAACAGGGGTTTCCGGACATGACAAAGGTGTGATACTCGTGAAGGCCACTCTTGAGCTAAAATAAAGCTTCTCGAAGGAACGAGTCGCTATCTCATCGTCCTGTTTGCCTGTGCGCTCGTGGTCTCTGTCGTTCTACCGACCGTAATGAGTGCGCATAAGTAAGCCCAGTGTGAAGGAGTGTGAAGGTCGTGACTAAGGGATTCACCGGCCCGATTCGTGGCGATCCAGCAATTAATCTCTGCAAATGACCATCGCCATCCACTTCCATCCCTCTCTTGCCGTGTGACTGTTTTCGACTTGCTAGAAATATGCCGATTGTGTCCATCACTCAGGCCGCAGAATCACTTCCCCAGTAAACTTTGTTCATCTTGACGCCCTTCTGCCACAGTGCCGGGAAACTCGAGTCCTGTTCGGGGTATTTCTCGCGCTGCTCGCGCTGGATGCGAAGAGCAGCTGCCGAAAAGCCGACACAAAGCGCGAAGATGGGATCGACGAATCTGGAGTAGAGTGAACATCAGCGTCCGTGTCGCGTCTCTATGTATGTGAAGCGGTAAGGAAAGACAGGAGTGGATGGGCACATACTTTGAGAACAGCCACGGTTGAGCGACCGATGCCATGGTTTACGAGACCGAGGCGTCAAAGATCCTAAGTCAAAAAAAAGGCGACTCGTTCAGAATCCTGGGGAATAGAGAGGTTGAGTATTATTTCGCAGATGCTCAAAGTAGGAGGACCTGGGCTCGCTGGCTCGCTGGCCAGGGAAGCTAAGCTGTTCATCCTCCGATTGGCCAGCCTCGTAGCCTTGTCACCCCTCTTCCTGACTTGCTATGCCAACTACAACTAGAGGCGTCCGAGTATTGCTATCACTCTATCAAGTGCAACCCAGTACATTCGGAGTCTACGACAAAAGTGGGTGAGCGATAGGTACCAACACAACACTCCCTGTCGCCACATATAGAGGTGCCATCCTCTCAATGTACTGGAGTCTCGACACTCGCACTATCGAGTTGCCCTTACCAGGTATTTCTCGAACCACTCATACCGCCTCCGCTCGATATCTCTCAATGTGCTTCCTTTGATATATATGTGTCCTTCGCCGTCGTAGACCTTGATATCTACCGCTGTGCCTGCCTCCTTGATGATCTTTGCCAGGTTGTATGCTTGATTTGGCGGCACGATGGCATCGTCTGCTCCACTGATTATCAGCAGCGGGCTTTTAATATCTGACGCATGAGTCAGAGGGCTCCTGTCTTTCAGAATGGCTTCTTGCTCCGCTGGTGTAGCATCAGGAGGATAGCATAACGGCGAGAGATATTGAGATTCGAATTTATGAGTCTCCTCGACAAGGAGCTTCATATCCGATATGCCGCTCTCAGCGACACCGCAAGCCCACACCGAGGGGTATTTGGCCAGAGCTTGCATAGTTGCATAGCCACCTGCAGAGTGGCCGGTGATACCCACTCTTGATTTGTCGATAAGCCCTTGTTGAGCCAGATAGTCAACTGCCGAAGCAGCATCGGCGATGTCGCTGACTCCCCACAGTGCAGCAAGTAGGCGGCGGTACGGCCGGCCATAGCCAGTGCTTCCCACGCTGTGGGCATAGAATTAGTGCACACGAAGATAACATCGGGGTGACCAGAAATTCCAACTCTCATTTCATTTGACAAAAGTAACATAACTTACTAGTTAAGCTGTACGAGAGCGTAGCCCCTAGTCGTGAGTGCTTGGTCGCGAAGGGAGAAGCCTGGGCCTGCTTGGTATGTTGGGCCCCCTATTAGACACCCATTAGCTCAGACTTATTGTGACACAGCGACGAAATAACAACACTAGAGTGGAGAATCCGCTCGAGTTAGATACAAACGTACCATGAAGAGCGACAATGAGAGGCGGAAGCGTGCCAGCCGGCGCCTCGAATTGTGGATTTTTGGGCGGATAAAATAGCCCATAGGCGTCACCTCCACCAGGACCGTGGACTCGTGGAAATGTAATCGGCTGCGGAGTTGAGACATACTCTTCTGGAAGAGGCGTCTGGGTGGACTGTTTCAATATTGTCCCAAGCCCTTGTTCATTGATATCAATCACCGTAGCCAGCATGGGGAGTGAGGCAGTGGCGCCTATGATTGCAAACGATGTGTCTGATACTGGCTTAACGGCATCATTCGATATCTCGACGATAGGACAGCTGAGATCACGCCATTCGAGTGTTCGAGTATCTACGAGAATGGTTGTGCAGCGGCCTTGATAATTGAACACGGCCACCATAGTGGACGGATCCAGGAGGCAGTAGGAAGCTGTAAGTTCCTGTTAGCCCATAACCCAGTATATGACTGCCAGTGATGAATTTGCTGTGAGATGCTCAACCCGGAAAAATGAAAGGAAGGACACTCACAGCCTCCTAAAAACCAGTCTGGAAAGCCGAACTCGGCATCCTCCAGCCCTGACAGTACGAGTTGTTGTATTTCACCATTGGCAAAAGAATATATTTGCCAGAAATCAGTCTGGTCCGAGACAAAGTAAAGAACTCCATCATCACGCCATCGTGGTTGGGTAATGCTGGCCTTGGTCTGCTGGCCAGCAATGCACCTGGGGTTCTTTGCCGTGCCGTGGTCCCAATCAGCAAGCCATAGCTCTGTATTGTCCCATGGCATATTGGGATGATTCCACTGTATCCAACAAATCTTTGTCCCATCAGGACTGAAGCTTGGAAAGGTATAGAAGTCGGAACCAATGGCTAGAGGCCGGACTTGATTTGTGGATGAGTCAATAACCACAAGAGAGGTCTGGATGTCTGAAATCTTGGACGTATTGTGGTCCTCTTTGATCGCCACCGTGTATTGAGAATGGTGAGGATGAATGGCGAAGTCGGCGTAGTATACCTTGGGGTCCGCCGTCACGATTGGGATTGTTTCGCCTCCTTCAGGGTCAAGGCCAAAAACACCCTTGGTCTCCCAATCCGTGAAGATAATGTGTCCCGTAGACTCATTGAAGGCAAAGGAGGCCCCACCATACTCATGGACCTGGGACAGGCAGTTGTATTGTTTGGGAAGAACATCTCTGCTCTGTCCATTGTAGTGCTCGACGATGACGCCTCTTCCCCCCTCATCTGGACGTATCTCAAGCAGGTATATTTTGCCATTGTCGCGCTGTAGACAACTTAGTATCATCCCTTTCGGCGACGATCCTTGGACCTACGTTGACGCATAGCCGATTCAATACCACCGAACCTGGGGCTGCAAAGCTCTCAGGCTCGATGGGACTCTTAAACGTCCCATACTGTGCAACTTGGCGAGAAGTCATGGTTATTTGTGACAGGAGAGAAAAGTCATTGCAGCTGCTGTCGAAAGAAATAGCCCCGTCACTTTATCAGCTTATTAAAGCTGCACGGATCATTTTGTTACAAGCATGCGTGGCATCTTGTCAATGTCACCTCCCGGAAAACAGCCTGCGCTGCAAAGTCGTGACCTTCCCGAAAGGGGAAGGGAATAGCGCCCATTCGCGGAATTATTTTTTGGCTGTGACGCGCAAGTTTGGCAGTCAAGTTCTCCAGCACCAGCCAGTGTTTGACAGTATCTGCAAGGTGATGATATCCATGCTCCACGCAAGATGTGAGGCAACAGATCGTCAAGAGTTCCTACACCAGCTCGTCTCCATTCCTGCCTGCCCCTCGTCGGTACACATCGTCCCTGTTCAGGCTCTATGCACACAACACCATATTTGCCTACGCGATTCGACTCAAGACCATGGCAGCCATCCCGGGTGCTGCACGCTTCTATGAACCTACGTAGACTGCAATGTCCGATCTCGTCGAAGTCCTCCCTGATTTTGACCTCAAACCGTACTCACACCTTCTACATTCCCTCGAGAAAAATGACATCACTGTCGCCGACTTGATCACCCTCGATCCCAAAGAGATTGCTAGAAAATGCCCTCTTCCTGCAGCCGATGTCCAGAGGTTGGTGCACGATGTAATAGAGGCCCTGCGACGCGACACGCTGCGAGGATTAAGAAAGCAGCACAAGAATAGAGCTGTGGATGCCGAGGACAGAGCAGACGATGGAATACAGTTCACAGAGACAAAAAGCGACATACCATTCAAAGTAAGGACCTTGGATCCGATTATAGATCAGGCATTGAATGGGGGCTTGTACCTAGGCCATATCGTAGAGGTGGTTGGAGAGAGTGCTGTCGGAAAGACTCAGTTCGTCCTAGGCCTATTGCTCTCTGTTCAACTACCTCCGCCAAAGGGCCTCGGGAAAGGGTCAATCTATATTTCGACCGAAGGGCCTCTCCATACCAAGCGGCTCAGTCAAATACTTCTCAATCATCCTGAGTACGACAGCTTGGACCCTGGTCAAGGGCCTTCACTTGATCGCGTACATACCATTGCAACGAACGATCTCGAAGCGCAGGAGCATATCATCCGGTATCAACTCCCCATCGCAGTCCAGCGATTTAACATTGGACTGATCGTCCTAGATTCAGTGGCGGCAAACTTCCGAGCCGAGCACGATACTCGGACGGCGGCGCAACTCGCCGATCGAGCCTTTGAGCTGGCCAAACTGGGAAACCTCCTGAGGAAGATCGCTATCGAGAATAACATAGCGGTCGTGGTCACAAATCAAGTCTCGGATCGCTTTGAAGATTCCAAAAATCTCCTTCAGCCATCATCTCCGCTTACCACGTCTTCTCCTACCGTTCCATCATCACATACACAAGCGGTGGTGGAGAGGCAGAGAGAGGTACAGAGTCTTGATCATCAACAGCGCTTCTTCACTGGATGGGGAGACGAGACAGGGAAGACCAAACAAGAACAATTGAAAACTCCGGCGCTTGGTCTGGCGTGGGCCAATCAAATATCTGCTCGCATTGTCCTTAAGATGGAGAGTCAACGGCAGGAATATGCAGGAGGCAATATCTGGAAAGACAAGAAGAAAACCAGGAACTTCTCAGTGGTCTTTGCTCCGTGGGCGGGCCCAACCCATTCTCTGATTCGATATGAAATTACAACCCAGGGTATTGTTTCGATCCCAGACACCGAAAGGCCCGAAAAGGCACTTGCAACCGTAGATGAGGAACACCAGGACTTGCTGGACGAGGCGTTCTGGGCCACAGAAGACGACGAAGAGTTTCCTTGATGGTCTGGAGTAGGCTGCGCAGCGGTATTTGACCTGGTTGGATAGATTTCTGGTCCGCAAATATGCACTTGGGTTGAAAGAACATTGTCTAGAGCCCGCGCATCAGAGATTAAACACTGCCTATGTTTTGTCTGGCTAAGGAATGGGGCGAGTCACATCAGCAGTCTGATAAGATGGCGGAGAGGCCACTCCAAAGGCGAAAGATACAGAGGCGATGGCGTCAAGATCGGGGTCGTTCGATACTCGGTGTCTGTAGAAGCAGGAAAAGGCAAATGTCAATATATCCACTAATTACTCCTAATCCGGTATGTACAGCCGACGCGTCTTTTTATTGGCTCCGGCCTTTCTCCAAGTTTGAGCTTGAATTCATCCCGCTTTTGTTGCTTCCAACAGCACGACAATTGCACAACAAGTAGGCTTCGTCTGTGACTCTCGTATCGTACAAACCTTCGCTCTTGGCTTACTTCGTGGGCATCCTTATCGTC